GTCGGAACCCCGTCATGCAACTAACCCTCGAACTTTCTCACAGGCGCGGAAAGGCAAATTCTACGATAGCGGAGTCTGGAAGGGTAAATGGTTTGAGAACGACTTACAACTCAGATCATTGGAGAAAGTGTATTCGTTCTAATCCACCTACGATTCTGCATTTACGTCAAATGCGTGGTGCACTCCAATGCGATTGGTCGGCTCTTACTACTTCAAAGGCACTGTCGGATCAGGTATAGAAGTAGAAAATGTGGCATTGGGAGGATAATGTGGTCTTCTGTGGACAGCCTTGCACCAGTTTCGCGGCACGAAATTGTAAGGGAGGGAGCGCTATAGCGCGAATATAGGTTCAGTGACGCCTCCTTTTCTCCAGTGACTCCGCCTCCAGACTCCGCCTTCAAGGCCCGCCTTTCAGTGAAAAACGAAGCTGCAGGACGAAAAAGCATGAAAATCGTCACTTGTACGGTCGTAGAGTTCTTATCGGGGAATCAGCTGTGCGGATGGGGGCGTGTGTTGGAGATGGAGGTAGTTGGGCACGTACAAACTGGGATTAAAATGGGGTTCTATCTAGGACCGTTAACATTTTTTCTTGTTTTTTCTTCACTTTCGATTTACTCAAAACGCTGTCGTCTATGCAAACCCCTAATGGCGAATGATCACGGGCTTTGCCTTCAACTGCTGCCTTTTCAAGGAAAAAAGTTAACTCAAACGGCATCGTTGAGCCATTGACCTCGAAGAGCAACTGTTGAGTGCTATTTGCTTTATCGGATAGACATTTGACTAATTACTATACCGCCTGTGCTAGCTATGTAAGGCTTCTTGGTCCTATTTTATAAGAGTCGGGATGTTTTATAATGGCTGTGCTACATTGATGCACTTCTCTGATGCAAGCCAACGCGAAACTAAGCAAATATTCCAACATTTCAAGTACGCGTAAACTATCCTGGCAGAGATGCCCTTGTAATAGGCGCAGAGCCCAGCTCCCGCGATTTCTTTGATCCAGTTTCATAGCTTTGAGGAGTATTTCATGGTGTACGGTGTACGGCAGAGTGCTGCGGGGCGTGAACGAGGGGACAGGGAGTTCGCAAGGTTCGCAGAAGTGATGCGATCGTCGAGAGAGTGCAATAGGGCGGGGAGGACAGAGGGTAGTCGAAAATGTTGACGGAGGATAGAGGCGCAAGCGGCTTCCCAGTCGGCATGGATGCTGGTGAAGAAACGGCCGAAGCTCGCGCCAAGGTACGCCATCTCATGGCTCAGGCGCCAAATGCTCGTCCACCCGAATTTGTCAATCCGTTGGAGAAGATCGAGCAACTGCTCACCTGTCCGATTTGTCTTGATCGCTACAAGTAAGTGATTTTCTTTTTTCATTATTCGATTTCATTTTTCGGTTTTATACAGTACTCCAATTTATCTCTCGTGCTTTTTCGTAGTGATATAACATTGCCTTGGAGTTCACTATTGGTAGATATGTTCGCTTCTTGGCGATTCGATGGCTCTTTGCTTTACAACCAGCACCGCGTATTCCATTACATCGACACCAGCCTTTCTCTAACACAGTTGCTTTTTAAATTATGAACGAGCCCCATCCCGGCTCTCTTGTGCAGCAGCGATGGAAAATTTGTCTTTGCCAGAGCAAGATTTGATTTTGAACTTCCAACGTGTAGGTGATTGCAGTGATTCATCAATGAAAAGGATTAGGTTGCAGCACATGTCCACCTACATAGTGCCGCTGAACCGACTTGTCCTTGATTGATTGGTGCTGCTCCGTTTAAGCCTTTCAGAGTTCTTGTTAGGGCTGAAAAGTAGATACAGTTCTTCGATTTCAGGCAACCAAAACTTCTCCCATGTCAGCACACCTTCTGTTACCCGTGCCTTGAATCGTGTGCCGATTCCCTGCACCGGACACTCAAGTGCCCGGAATGTCGGGCTGAACATTCAATTCCGTACGAAGGAGTGAAAGCCTTTCAGGTAAGAATGAGCATAATCTTTGATGAATAAGTTACCACAGTTTAAACTACGTCATCATTGCAGTCAAACTACACTCTGACTGGTTTCCTCGAAATCCACCTGCAAGCCACACCGGACTCAGCTGCAGAGATTGAGGAGTATATCCGTAGGTAAGTCGATGGCTGATGTCTACGTGAGAGCGAAGGAGTTGAACACCTTGACGGATGACTCATCCCAGGCGTTCTGACGATTTCGTTATGTCGTCCTTCTTGATTTGCCGTCATACGCTTAGTGAACAGCTGTTCGATTGACGCGATCGGTTCACGAAATGTGATCGAGTATGCTCCTCGAGGACATCTCAACCAATCGATCGTAACTCAAAAGCTTTCTAATAGTGGAATATCTATTTTACTGCCGATTAAGCGCTAATGTTCTTTGAGCTGACGATGACGTCTCTAGCACTTGCGAGGGCGTTCAGCAGTGTTGACAAAGCACCCGAGCGATTGAGGAGAGATTTGCCATCATATCCCACCATCGAGAGCACACCGAGCGCCACCCCATGTTTCTGGGGCTTTCATCCTCAAGATCTGTTACATCGAGTTAGTTCTGATTGGAAACTTCAGAGAATAAGGGTAAATCCGCACTCGATCCTTTTGCAAGGTTATCAGTAAAATATTTTATTTTGCGGAATTGAAGTCATAATCCACGATAATTCGGTACTCGGTATAGAATGGTAGCAGGGGTGCTATGTAATGGTTAAATGGCGAAAAAGAGAATTGAATCTGTCAAAAACCCGCAAAAAAAGCCAAAAAAGCCCACGTCTGACAAAGCAGTTTCGGACGAGTTCCCAGTTGACATCGTGCCAATAACCGCTACGGTAGATACGGCTGCAAGTACGTACCCATATATTTGTGCATCGCAGCCGCTCCATATCAATCCCTTCGCTTCATATTGTACTTCGTAAATGAAGTGATAAGAGCTTCGGTCGGACTTTGTGGGCGGGCGGGCGCGGTGGGCGTCCGGGTCGGTATGTTGCGGGTATAAGGATACCTTATTTGGGAAAGGCGCCACGCAGCGCCTGCTCAGGGGCCCCGAATTCCGCCCTGTTGGGCGTATCAATCCTACACGTTTCGAGGATTTACCGTACCCACTTGCCTTCAACACGAAAGAAATTAGTTGTGGGTGCGGTTAGTAGGACGTATAATCACTTATAGATCTGGAAGCCACCAGAGGGTGGCAGTATCGCGCAAAGGCTATCAAATCTTTCCACATACGGTTTGCAACATCTCAATCGGACGGGGTGGTTTCAAGGAGGACTGAATGAACCCATGTGCGGCGTTTCCACCACTGCTTGTTTTCTTCCTAAAGCGGTCACTAACCGATAACCATTGGTAGAGCAAGGCAACCGAAGGCGGGCTCATTCCTCCCCTTCTGCCACCATCTTGTCTGATTGCGACGTTATAAACTTTACCTTCATTGGTGGCATTGTTCACGTATTTTGACAAATACCCTTGTACAGTGATTCCGCAACCGCAAATACTC